GGTTGGAGGGTGCCACTGATAGTTCCTACTTTTTTCTTTCCATCTGTTGTTTTAGTCTGTCTGTCTTGCTTCTTCCCTGCATTTTGATATTATTAGTATAGTTATTGTGTCGATGTGCCTCTCGATACTTAAACACAAATAGATAGATAGATAGAGAGATAGATAGATCAGTGCTGTTACAAGAGAATAAATTACCCAAAAAATGAAGACGGGATAAGGACGACAGATGTATGTTTGGCAGGAAAGAAGGAGCAGACTTCACCGTAGCACCATAAATCTATCATATATTTTTGTATCATAATTCAGAAAAGTTAATTTGTCGTCACGTTGAACGTAGTTTAAAGTTCAGCTTTTGAATCCCCCAAAGAAAGCTAGATTGTTGACTGTTTGGTTGTTTGATGTGGCCGGTAAACTGTTGATGTTGTGTTGCGCTTGCCAACTATGGCATTATTGCCCACCAGTGAGCGATTTGAGTAATGTTGGTGGGTGGTGGGGATCACACAACTGGTGATGGCTTGGAAACACATATTTTTTATTATGTATGTGGGCGGTTTTATGTAAATTGTGTCAATGGGGGCGTAAACACACCATTAAGCACATTGTGCATGCTGTAAAGCGTCAATATTCGCTAAACATAATAAATGGAATCATTCGACAGATGAGCGCAAGAAGTGACTATATACGCTGTTCATAGTTTCGAGAAAAACAAGCTTGAATTTTTGACGATATTGAAATCTCTATTACATAGTCAAAAAAAGAAACGTTCATATCCCGATATCGAATTGAGCTTCGACTTAGGTATTTACAGAGTCATAAGAGCGGCTTAAAATCTCAGAAGCCATATCGATTATTCCATTTCGATTTAAAGTGGGAATAGTGATTTCTTGGGGGCCCTTGTGGCCTAGTAGTTAAGGTGTTCACCTCTCATTCAATAGGTCCTGGGTTTGAATCCCGATAGTGAGGGAACATTTTCTGCTCTAAAATGTTTTTCTTTCACATCTTTTCCTATTCTCTAACAATGTTCTGTCATCTGCTTTCGTCTCCTCTTCCTGACTCAACACCCTCACCTTCTTTGCCTCCTCCGCTGGGCTCCTGACTCTTTCTGCAGCCTTTCTACTGCTTCTCCTTGGCACCTTCTTACTGCTGTCTTTCAGCCACACCACCGATCTCCTGGTAGGAAAGATCTATACCTAGCCTTCTCGGACAAGGTCGAAAAGTCTCGGAGGTCCCGTATGAAGGTTGCGCACTTTAAAGATCCCTTAGTGGTCCAAAAATCAATAAGAGCAGGTTTCGGTCGCCACCCGTGCAAAATTCAAAATTTCCTACCAACTGAAAAAATGTTAAATGTGCCCTGCACGCTCATATGACCTTATGCAGTTGCGAACGCCGCAACAAACACTTACACCCCCGCCCAACCCCGCAAAGAAATTTCTTGCGCTCATCCATTGTATTGTTTGTTTTCGTTAAGAGCGGTTGTTGATTTCGTTGTTGTGTCACCTTATCGTCAGAGCGTGAGTCCGGCTGTTCGTCGTTGCCGTCCATGTTGAAGAGATGCGGGCAGTGCAGGGCGGTGCTCTCCTCTATGTGACTGCCACTGTCGTAGATCTGGGTCATGCCCTGGTCAGCGTCCCACACACTGGACACACCAGACTGGACATGGTCAGTGGGGGGGGGGAGAGGGGGAGGTTGTGGTTTGTTTATTGTTTGTGTGTGTGTATGTGTGCGTGTGGTGTGTGTTTGTGTGTGTGTGTCGGGGGGGGTGTCTTAATAATCGTTTTACGATAGATAGATAGATAGATAGATAGATAGATAGATAGATAGATAGATAGATAGATAGATAGATAGATAGATAGAGAAAGAGAGAGCGAGAGAGAGGTAGAGCGAGAGAGAGACAGAGAGGCAGAGGGACAGAGAGACAAAGAGATAGAAAGAGACAGAGAGAGACAAAGAGAGACAGAGAGACAGAGAGACAGAGAGACACAGAGACAGAGACAGAGACAGAGAGAGACACAGAGAGTACGAGTCAGACGATATCATGCTTATCATGCCGTAACTATAACAACCAGTCAGGTCCCGCCCCCTCACCTGAAGCTCCGCCCCCCGTAGGTGTAGAGATGCTGGTAGTTTCCCTGCTCGTCCTTACCGTCCACAGAGGAGAATTTGAGCCGGCCTGTGGGGAACAGCCGTAGACGTATATAATAGATAGATAGATAGATAGATAGATAGATAGATAGATAGATAGATAGATAGATAGATAGATAGATAGATAGATAGATAGAAGACACAG